AGATACTTCTAAATACTTTATGCATTTTTATTTTCTTGGGTTGTAAATCCAACTTCATCAAATCCTTTTATATTCAAATTCCTAATATATTCTTAGGCTAGTTTTTACATAATACAACAATAGTTATAACTTATATAGATACAAAATTATTAAAATTAAAAAACTTTTTTATTATTTTATTAATAATCATAATTTTAAAGATTTTATAAGTTACATGAAACTTATTAGAAAAAAAAAGCCATAAAAATGAAGTCTTAGTAAATCTTGGAAGGAAATATCTTAGTTAATTTAGTATGTTTTCTTAATGGTAAAAATTGATGTTTGGTTATTAAGATTAATAGTTAAATTGACCTTATATCTATATTTATTATTCATTAAAAACTTATAAATTTTAATTAGTAGGTGGAAGAGGCATAAAAAAGAACCTCATGTCTTTTTAATTATTTATTTTTAAAAAAAATTAAGTAATTGAAATTATTTAATTAATATAAATAACTAATAAATTATAAAAATAGTCTTAAATTGATATTATTATTATTAAAATATTATAAGTATTTTTACGTTTTATTTTAAATTTATTTTGAAATTTGAAAGCATACTTTTAAGACATTAATAAAACATAATTTTATCACTTGGAGAGGTCTTTATGAAGAATTCGAGCATGACTTGAAGGTCCTATAAGTTTCAAACAAAAAAAATTTATTTTTTATTACCATGATAAAGTCGAAAATATAAAAAATATGGTTTTAATAGTAGAAAATAGGAGGATTAGTAGCTACTTTAGTACTTGAAGAAAAGAGTGAGCACATATTCCATATGGATTGTAGCAAATTTAAAATAAATAAGTAAATAAATAAAAGTTAAAAACCTTAAGAAGACTATTATAACTCTAAATTCTTAATTCTAATTTTTAAATTCTAAATCTTAAATTTAAATCTAAAAATCCTAAATTTGATAGAATCTAATTTCTATACCTTAAAAGTCCTAAAATATAGTATACACACATTTCTTATTAAATTGGTTATTTTATATGTAGTACAAATACTTAAAATTATGAACTAGATATTTTATTGTTAATATGAAAGAAACTACTTCAAATTAGGTATTTTGTATTCTTTGTATGAACAACTTTAAAAATAAAAATTATTTTTATGTAAGTGCAGAAAAGAATATTTTGTTATTTAAAATCTTCTTGATTTTCATTCCGAAAAATCATTTAATTATATTACAATTATATATTACAAGGATTAGAAGCATTAAAACTAAAAAAGAAATTTAATGCAAAAATTAAAATTAAATATGCTAATATCTTTTAGAAAGTCCATAAAATTCTCAATCTAAAATCCCAAACTTACTATAAACAATTTAAAAAATTATATATAATCCTATTTAAATTAATTTATATTATTAATTAAATATATTCAATTTAATTATCAAGTTAATCTTTTCATTATTATTATTTGGCCTTGTAGCAATTAGTAAATATTGTATTACTTGATTTAAAATAATATATTAAAAAGACCAAAGTTAACAACATTAGAATTTTAATTTGATGTTGAATTTACTTGGATTTAATTAGAACTTATTAAAGTTTAATTATTCTTTGATTAGGATTTTTTTAGAATTGGATAGGATTTTTTTAGGGTTTGGTATAGGATTTACTATGATATAATTAAGAATTGTTTAGGATTTCTCTAAGATTTTTTTAGAATTTAATTATGATTTTTTAAAGATTTATTTAAGATTTAATTAGTATCTTTATGAATTATGGTTAAGATTTAGCTAGGATTTGGGTAGGATTTTTTTGGATTTTTTAATTAATATTTTTAGGATTTAATTAGGATTTTATTAATATTTAATAGATTTCTTCTAAGATTTTAATAAAGGTTGTTTAGCATTGTTTAGGATTTTTTTTAAAGGTTATTAATATTTAATTAAGGCTAATAGTATCTTAAATAGTTTTAATAGAGCCCACATCCATGAACTTAAAATACACTTAATTAAATTTAAAATAAATAAAAGACATGTAATTGACTTTAAAAATTATCTAAGTAAAGTCATTTAGAAATAAGGTTGGTAGTAGCTTGAAGAGTACTAATAGAATCCATATTCATGAACTTAAAATACACTCATTTATCTTAGAAATTAATAAATGACGTATATATGGTATCTAAGTAAGGCCATCTAAGAATATTGATTGATTTATTTATTTATTGATAAAAATTTATTGACTTGAGGATTTTAAAAGAACCACAATTGCTAAGACAAGTTTTAAAACTCATCTTGTTGATTAAGTTGCTTTGAAAGAAACTCTAGAAAATGCATTAATCTTTCCAATTAATCAAATCAATTATTAGATGGACCATGTTTTTATGCCAAGTAATTCATTTAAAATAACATATTATTTTTTCACAACCCTACAAGCATAAGTTTTTCTTTTATTAACAAGTCTTTCATCATGAAGACATGATGGTTTGTATTGAGTATATTGAGTGCAATTCAATCTAAGATATCTTTGTATTTTCAATCTCAATTAGAGTTGGTATCAATATTTCATGTACTTATGAAAATAAATTTAGTGATAATATTCACAAATAATTATGTATATTTACATAAATACTAATAAAAATTACAATTCTAATATTATAATAATAACATTATTCTTTTGTATTAGCACCAAACTTTAAGAAATTGGTTTGTTTGCTTAATATAAAGAATGTTTATTTAGAAGTTTATTGTTGAAATTCTTTTAATCTTTCCTACACCAAACAACATTTGATTTCTATTTGCTTGATAATTTAGTAGTAAAAAATAATTTGAAAGAGAAATAAAAAAATAAAAATAAAAAATATAGATTCACAAAAATAATATTCTATCTTTACAATATAGTCACTAAAGTTTTTTTAACTCACAAACCTTTAGAAAAATATAATAGATTTATAATATATATTGAAAAAAAACATGAAAATGTTTATTAGACGTACTAAATGGTCAAAATAAATTTCTTTACATAAATTAAACAACAAGATATTTAAAAAAAATTAAAAAATATTTTTTATTCTTTTGAAAAGATTTGAAATTAGAAAATAAATTATAAGGAAGAAAAGAAATTTATAGAAGAAAATAAATCATAACTTATTTTTTAAAAAATTAAAAATTAAAAAAATAGAATAATTTTATATAGAATATAATCAAAAGATGGTATTTTTTTTCTCCTTCTAAAAAAATTTTGAAAAAACAAAAAATTGGTATGATAGCAATGTAAATAAATTCTAAATTTTTATATTGAAATTTTATACCAATTAAAAGACCATAGTTTTAGAAGAATATAATAAGTTTTAGTAAGAATATTTAAATTTTTAATCAAAAGATTATTTGATAATATTGTATTAGAACCATGTTAATTATTACAAATAGGAATGGTATTATAACTATCAAAAGCAATAATGCCAAGTGAAATAAAAAAAAATTGAAAAGACATAATAAATACATCATGGATATGAATAAGAACTTATATATAGTGTTGTTGAATAATGCCTTGGTTGTGCAATATTGAGACTCATAGAAAGATAGTATAATAAAAATATAAATCTTAGGCATGTGTAGATTTTAAAAAATTAATATCTTATGCTTTTATTTAATGTTAGTTTACATAAAGATATATATATATATATATATATATATATATATATATATATATAAAACTAAAATAGATAACTCATGCTTTGTTTTAGAAGTGGCAAGCATTGCATGCTTAAGTTTACTACATACAAAAAGTTGTGAGATTGAATAGAAGAAGAGCATATAAAAAAAAGTGAATAGATCATATTAATCTTGGTAGATTCTTTTGGTGCATGTTTCTACGCAATTTTCTACATTGTATTTGTCTTCCACAATACAAAAATAATTTAAAGCATAAGTATTAAGTACATTCTTCAAATAAGTGTACCATTTGTTGCCAGTATTGCCATCATATTTGAGTTAGAAGAGCTATTGCATGTGAATAATAGAAAAGAAATAAATTTAACAAAATTTAGTAGTTGTAAGGATCCTACCTCCTCTAATCACTGTCTTACAAACTTCTTTAATTATACCATAAGACAACAAAACCCTAAGTATCTTTAATACTTGCACTTAATCTCTTTATTGCACAATATCTTTGCAATTTGCTTGTCTATACTAACTTTGCATTGTTGCAAAGTTTAATTGAACAAAACAAGAAACAAATAAAAATTGGCATATAGAAGACAAATATATATATATATATATATATATATATATATATCACATTAAGAAATTTTATAATAATGTGTCGAGTGATGTGTGTGCTTTGAAGAAGCTATTGCAACAAAGAATAGTGGTAATGTTGGAGATTTATCCTTTGATGTTGTAAATATGTTGTACTCAAGTAGGATTATGCAAGATTGGATGGGCCTAAATTGTAACTCACTTAGGTGTTTTTAGAGATTGTTGGTGGATTTGAGTAATGGATTTATTGCAAGAGGGTATATAGATGGACATGACAAATGGTGTAGAAAGTAAGATAAAAGAACCTCCATAATGAATGTCAACTATGGGATTCAACATAGAATCAAAATTGGAAATGATTTTGATTTGCCCCGAGGCAGCACGCAGGCAACAGGCTGCACAAAACTCAGGAGATGACCGTAGATGAAACCCCACGATGCGGTATTCAACCACATTATCAACCTAGGGGGATGTTCTGTCCAGCACTCTTTTCATGAACAGAACTCATTCAGATCTGAACTACTGGGGGGAAGTTCAGGTTCCCTAGTTGACATCAAAGCACTAAGCCCTTCCGATAACATAACTAATATAGGGAATATGAGGTGTGCACAAAATCCACCCATTCATTTCATCCCAAATACTATGTAAACAAATTTGACATCAATGTCTTCCACACAATGAAGCGTACAATTTTTTACGTACTACAAATGTAAGTCATGTAGCTTCACAAATCCAAGAAAATACGAGAGGCCTTACAAAACGGTTTAAATCGCTGTTAACATGAATAATAAGAATCATAAATAATCAATACAACAGTAGTCCAGTCACTGAACATAACCAACTCAGCACATTAACAAATCGTCAAACTTGGAAGGAAAACTTCCAAATTTGGCCACAGCTACAACCCCGCTTTCCTAACGCATAGAAGGGTACCTTTTACAGCTACTACAGGTAGTGGTCAGACATATTGAGACCATCTTCAAACGTTGGAATACACGCTGGTATAGTCTCAGAGAACATTCACCAGTGCAACATCAACCTGTCCTACTAGAACAAGGCAATTGAAAATTACTCCCCTCGAACGGACCTATTTGGATCAGTGCAATAATCCAAAGTAGGTAGAACTCACTGCAACGAAACTAAGCCTCCTCCCGTGTCTCTCCTCTCACTAGCACTTCACTGGTTGAGGTGGCAAATCACCTCCTCGTTACAAAACTCTAGTTACGACTGGATTCAATAGCTCAGGGTCTCAGATTACCCGTGGCTCCTGAGCTAGAGTTCAATGATCAGCAGGATCTAGTGACATCTTACTTCGTAACAATGCATCAGATCATCTGTTTAGATCGTCCGCTCATGCAGCCCTACCAATACTCTGAAGGAATGGCTATGTTAGCCCTTCAGACCCACCACTAAACAACCAGTACTAGAATATGCGGGCCAAGTCGATTAAAACTGTAAGCCACATCGATTCTGATGTTGGTAATTAGGGTAGATTAATATTTCCTCTCAGTCTTGACTATCTCTTGACCGGACAGCCACACTTGAACGAGCCATGTGTATCCAAGTGCGCAGCAAATGTTAAGTAAAGCCAAATGAGCCGGATTGGCACGACATGCCTCCAACATTAAAAAGACCCGATCAGCTGGTTGTCGTTCTCAAAGACCATAAGTATTCACCAACTTATCACGCAGCGTGGCATCCAAGACTCCAAAATACTGCTCCCAGGATTTGGACTGAGACAGCATCTGCAATTGCAACAGCTGTCAGACTGATTGCTTCAAGGAATTATCTTATGTGTAAGAGGTCTCAATGCATAATGGATAAGGTTATAGAAGACCATACCTGTTTGTATCCATGTAACACTTGCGCAATTTCCAGAGAGAGCTCTTTGCTGCGAATTTCCTGTGTCAATCATAACCAGCAACATAAATGAACATATAGACCGCAATTTTGTCAAAATAAATATAGTGTCACCTATGGCAATATTATTACAACAGAGCTAGGACGATAACAGCTAAAACAAGTGATTGAAAAAATCCAATATGGTCTACCATCATAAAGAATAGTGCAATTTGAAAAGATAAAAATATCAGCTATAATCAAATCAAGGGCAAGACATGTCTTGTGTGCTTACATGCCAGCTACCGATAGCCTCACACATATATACGAACGAGTTCACAGCGCCACCCGGGTTCGACCGTACCTGACACTCAGCCACCATGATCAATTAGATATTGCTTCATTCAAAACTTCGAACATTTTTAGACAGACAGCCTACCTTGGTTGTATCATAGCCAGAAAAATCATGGAAAGCAGCCTATCAGTCGAAAACATTGCTTTCACGATTGAAATTACTATTCTGGTCGAGTGTATACCATAGCACACAAGCCTCGAAAAGCATCTTCCTTCTCAAAGTCATCTCGTATCCTGGGGAGAGAAAAACAGTGAGAATATTCAATCTGATATGAACGAACAGACAACTAGTATATCCAAACTAAGAGGTTGAGCAAGCAATATTATACATACTACGTTCTTCCTGAACACATAAAAACATCTCTAATAACTTTCTTACAAATGGACATCTCTAACATTAAGGGCATTCACACAGTAGAAGAGAGAGACTCCAAGACAACAAAAGGGTCTTACATGCCAAGCGCACGGCACCAGGGTTGCATGAAGTGCTCCATGTGAGGAGCAACAAGCTCTGGACACACCCATCCCAGTCTTCCTAAGGTGATTGCACTATTCTCCAAGAGTGACTTATTAAGACCCTGCACATATCTCTCGTTGAGTTGAATAATTTCAAGTTCTTTGAGAAGCCACAGAAGCCAAAACTACATTATCATCCCTTACATCAAAGTTGCCTTTGTCAAACCGAAAAGCAGTCAAGGATACACTTACCTCAGTATTGGAAAGGATGGGTACCAGCGATGAGATAACAGTCAACACCACAGGCGAGATATCACTCCTAATCTGCATTGTTATAACCATTGTGAATAACTAATATCGACTCCAAGATTGAGCTAAAAGATAATCAAACCACCATAATTCTAAAATAATCCCCACGCAAACAAAGTTTGACATTTACAGATAAACGGTCAAATGAACTGAAGACAAGCTAGTACCAGCCCTGAAGAGTTGGTCAATGAAACCCAATACAAAAAAAGAAAACTAAGCGGGAAAATGTAAATCTTTACGTCCATCTCGAGGATTCTTCAAAACAAAGAACAACTGAACTATAACGTTAATTAATCAGAAAGCATAAAAGAACAGGACTCAACCTTGACGGCCACTTCACCAATAGCCCAGCAAGCATTGTTGGCTACCGACACATTTTCTTTGACATCTTGTCCCTGCCATACAACCGCAGAACTTAGTGAGTTTAGAACACTACTCACAGTGATACACTAAGATTACGACAGTTTACAAAGAATGCTACCCACCAGCTGCTTCGCCGCTACGTTGAGGAACTCTGCAAGTCGGGGTTGCAGATGCACAGCGCAAGCCTGTGATCAGTCAAACGAAGTGCCTTGGTAAGAAGACATAATCCTAGCTCAAAAGGATTATGAAAGTACGAAACAAAATAATGAGCTGGCATTCAAGGTAATTTAAAAAACTCAACGACATAATAATGTAATGTTTGTCAGGTGACAAACGAACTTCTAAAACACAAACTCCATACCTTGACAAGGTCACCCAAGAGGGCCAGAGCACTCTGACGTACATCCGGGGCTTCGTCAGCGCAGCACTGTAGCAACAGGTCGCGAAGATCACTTCTTGATACCTGCACCAAATGAAACAACAAAATGTTACACAATGTTGAAAGAGACGCCACAGACAATCACCCTATTATTTACGTGGTACCAACAGGCCATGCAAATGACCACATTAAGCGTGCCTGCTAGGCACTATAACCCAGCTAAAAGTAACAACTCAACTTCTCCAGCAAAATGAACGTCAAGGTATCAACCTTGACAATATACCAAAAATAAGATTGTGTGCGACAAGTTTACTATACATTAGATCTAAGAAATAACTCCTTACTAAGAAACCAAAAGCAAAAACTTACCAAGCTCTCAATGCTGCTGCCAAGGCCTTCTGCAAGACCTGATAGCAAATCTAAAGAACAAACTATAAATTCTTTGTCATAATTCACGCTCGTGTTCTGGGGATCAGCCTACATTAAAAGAAATCAATACGCTTATGTTAGATGTGGTTCATGCGAAAACTCAACATGTTTGATTAAAGTATCAAGCAAGATCAAGTTCACATGAGCACGAATCATGAGATTAAAATGCAGGTTTCGCAATATTTAACATCCTTAAGATAAGTATATCAGAATCAGTAACAATGATACTCTGATATTATAGCGTCACAACTAAGACACAATAACACAGATACATATCTTCGATGAAGGTAAGTTAGGAGAATCCCTTCAAATTGTATGCAAAGGACTAGGTACTAATGTGCACTTGCAAGAAATCATTTCGTTAATACCTTAGCAACTTGATGTATACGAATCAAATTGATGCATCTCATAAAGACAGGCTCAGCATATGGAGTGAAGCCTGGACCAAATGCCTGGTATCATCATGCAATGATATAAGTTCTAGTGCACAACTTTACACCATAGACCCTTAACCTGCATAGTCAGGTTGGACTGGAGCATTTACGTTGACCTAAACTGTTACAATCACGGAAAATCAGAACAGGAGAGATAAATATTCCCGATCCGAGGCTAATGCGTAAAAGTTGCAATAACGGTAGCTTAGAGAGCCAAGACATAACAAAGCCACTATACCTGCGCTATTGAAGTAAAACACTCGAGCAAAGGAAATAAATCCTTGTCATTGTCCAACAGCTGCTTCCATTTCGAAATAAGTGGCGGCATCAAAATTTCCAAATACTTAGGCTGCAAGTAGAATATGATAGTCGATAAGATCAAACGTGCAACTATGAGGCAACAGAAATTCCACCAAGATCCATTAAAAAGCATAAGGTTTTCACAACCTCAATGCGCTTGTTAGCATGCTTTTAGCATATAGTAGGAAACACAAAAAGAAATTGCTTAAGGGAAAACTAAGGAATTACACCACTTACATTATTGAGCTCACTGCCTACAGCGTCCGCTAGTGTGCCAATAGCATCGTATAAAATACGCAAATTCCGCCTCTGCAACAAAAAAATTAATAATGTCAAGTCTATGAAACTAAATAGCACAAACCTTATAAGCAACGATAGGCTTTATGAGTTCGCAACAAATACTAGATGGGCTAGTGATCCTACCGATCTCGATTAAGTACATGCTTCTACTAGTGCCCTCTACCCGTTCACCATGTGTTCATATGCAGGTGGAGTAATATGCATTCAAACGATATAAAAAGAATTACACGCGAACCACTGCAAGAGTCCCCAGATAACACAACATCCTGATCTCGAAGATTTCAAAATCCACACCTGATAAGTTCCGAACGCGTACATAAGATGCTGCAGTATGAGTTCAAGCCTAGGGGCTAAATCTTCAGCAGCCTCCTGAAATTTGGAAAGAAAAAATGGAAGTCATGAAACAGCGACACAATCGATGACCACTAAAACGGCCACAAGCCCACATCCATACTTATTCACGTTGCCAAATAAAACTGCACAAAATTATTCAATCACTTGTATGCAACATACAACAAATGATAACAAAACTTATTTCATACGATAAAGACACAGTATAGCAAATACCTCTTCAAGAGTAGCAAATGCAGAGCAGGCAGCCTCCTGGACGCGTTTATGAGGATCCAAAATTCGGCGGAGCAATCCTTTGAGTATTGCATCGAACTGTAACTGTCCTTCTGGAGACTGTGCAACCTGATTTGCAAACGGCAGTACATAGCTTACTAAAAGTCCACACATCGAATGTGATTGTCAACACTCTTCTTCTGGTTATTTGTAGCGCTTCATGCCATGAATGATAAAGCACCAAAGCTAAATTCACAATGTTCTAGCGAAGTTGCACCTCAGCAATCCATTTGCTATAGCGAGAAAGAGTCCAGCACGATATACTCCGCACAAGTGGCCGGGTATCCTCCATAAACGATACAAGATAGACTACGATCTGAAAAGCACGGCCCACAAGCAACCGGATTAAAAAGTCATTAGCTACCGTCTAAGCAGAACGCACAATCCTTGAAAAGATATAAATAAGATGCAATGGAAAATCTTTTCCAACCAAAACAGCGAGTGACTTGCATTTAAACGTAAATGAAACTCGAATGTTCCTCTAACTTGCAAGATATCCCAACTTAGTGATTAGGCTTTACCACCAATTAATTATCGAACAAAAAACAGAATATAAGGTTTGCCGATTATTTAAAAGACCAATACACGCACTGCCTCCTGATACACCAAGAAAGAGTTATATGCAGAGGCACGATGACAGATATTATACTGCACACCGCAAGAGCTACTGCACCATGGCACGCCCAAATTTGTCTTACTTGTGCAAGATGGGGTGATAGGCCTGATATGCAGCCCTCAGCAACAGCACCTAGAGCTAAAATTGCAGCCTCCTTTTGTACCCATGCCGATTCTTCAGTTGTGGAAAGTCTCACCTACAGCAACAGCTACTCATGAGCAACCTAGTAAACACCACTTGACGGTTCAGTAAAGGCTGTAAGAAATTGGATAAAGATGTACCTGCACAAGGGGCAGAAGAATTGGGAGAATTTCATCCCCAAATACTGTTGATAATATATCTAGTCCAGCAGCACTACATTTCCGCAAATTCCACGAATTTATAATATCAGCGTCATCATCATCCTGCACTCACAAGGTGACATAGGCGGCAATTGTTAGAGGTTATTACACTTGCTATACGTTTTACCTAAACGCCATTGCTATTACTACATGTAACACCTTTCTTCTGTCCCTAAAACGATAAAAATTCATAAAACTCTTGTTAATGTTCGCTCTTGAAAATTATGATATCTATGACAAACAATTATGTCAAAAAAATTAAAGATGCACAAGGTTTGCTATCATAATTCTACTTGGCTATTCATCCTAGTGAGTAAAATCAACCCGAAGCAAGGAATAGCGAGTTTGAAATGTAGCACAGCAATGCTGTGTACCTCATCCTCTTCAGCACCATCAGTAGCCCCCATTAACCGCGATTGATGAAACCTGGGCTTAATATCCTGAAAAACGTAAAATCAATCATTTATTGCGAGTCAACACAATGAGAATTTTCGGGATTTGACAACATACGACAGGATGTTAACCGCCAACATAAGGCTTTATTGAAAATTGTAGCCTACAGAACCAGACAACAGTCTGTACCTGGTCTCTGTCAGGTGCATTCTCATCTTCCTGCAAGATGCACAAGACATATTTCAGGTCAAAATTACAATTCTACAAATACAAGGCGTTTGAGAATAATTATGATTGTTGCGTAGAGAAAGGTTGCAAAAAATAAAAAAAACAAAACAAAACAGACATCTTTCTTTCCAAAGAAAAAATCACAACAAACGGGGTTGATGACTTGTAGCATCTCACATCCTCGTCTTGCAAAGCTTCATCGTCGTCCGCATATACCATGTTGTCCAGTAAAATCTGTAGTATCCATAATACGATCATTACAAGGAGACCAACACAACAAGATTGCTTCATCACATCCAACTTCACAACTGAAATTTCAGTTCAACAACACACATCAAGGTGACGATCCTGATCCTCTAATCAGATATAATCGATCTGAAATTCTATTGATCGGAGAAGATGCCCGACATAAGATCATGCCTTAAAACTAGCATCTCAATGAGAAAACTTGTACCGAATCCTTAGGAAGCAGTCAACGACATACTGACTTACATCAACAAGGCGTGGCAAAAATTCTCGCAGGAAGTCAGGTGGAATGTGTGCTTCACAAAACGCAGACCTACAGACAACAACTTCAGTTAACCACTTTCAAAAAAAATCTTCCAAGGCTACAGACACAATTTTTTATTAGGGCGCAGCATTACATGCAACAGAACAACTAAGAAGTAGATTGTTAGAATACAGCTTTGTGTGCAAACATCTCAGCTCACCAAAACTCGCAAGCCTCCAAAGCCACATCCTTATCAGAATCTTTGTTGGCTTGAAGCATATATTCAATAATATTTTTCATATGAGGCTGCATTCACCAATGCATACGATATTTACATAAATGATATTGCTAACAGAAACAATAATATCTCAAGTTTGATTTGACTATTAATGAGACAACAGTCAAACACTGCCCTGCACACGATCTACCTAGGGAGGTTCATTCACACTTTTCTCAAATCTTACGATCACGTTTCAAACAACAAAAAATGGAATGAAGAGCTACTACTGAGATATGGAGCTAGCTTAGTAGTACTCAATACATACCTGTAGAGCACTAGGCTGCACTTCCAACAATTGCACCAAAGCAGCACAAACCTGTATGTTTAATAGGAGTACAAGGATGAGAAAACATGTAGTCATGTTCTTAGAAAGGATTTGGTGACAATGCCTACTAATCGATGAGCACATAGAGAAAGCTTCAAATCATTCAAAATCCACTTATCAGGCATTGGCCACCTAAACAGAAATTCAAGAAAAAAAACATACCAATTTTCGAACATCTCCAGAGCTATCATTTGCAAGAGAAAACAATCCTTGCAGGTATTGACCCATATTGATAAATAGTGCCTGCATTCGAAACACAACTGTATCAAAAAAAGATGCAAACGTATATTACAATCCTAATTGCACCTAAATACAAGAATAAGAACCAGGAAGAAGTAATGAACAAGATAGGATAGCAAGTAGTAAATAAATACTTAACATCTATCCGAGTTGAAATCAACACATGAACCAGCGATATTAAACCAGACTCAGAGAAACCATGTTCACTCTTCCCTTGTGTTACGTTACGAAGATAGTAAGAATCAACTTACAGATGGCAAAAGGACGATAAACTGATTAACAGTCCCCAAAGATAATTTCCGCAAGACCGCATATTCAGAAGTGAAAAACTGCATTGAAATCGCAAAAGATCAGAAGTTGCAAGGTTAAAAAATCAAGCTTCAGGTGATAAAATTTACTCCGGCTACTGCTGCTGCAATTCAAAGTGAAGAACATATTCAAAAAGAGTGTAGAAGAGTTCTGTTCGTACCTGAAGCAGTCTAGGAATGAAGATAGATATTGGACGGTCTGCAAATCCTGGCACCTCGGAGTCGAGCATTTCTGGTAAATCTTCAGCAATCTGAAATATCACGAAGTCGATAGTCAACAGCTGTCCATATTTCCAACCTGACAAATAAGCCCAGTAATTTCCCATCACACTAAACTTCATCGTTCGTGCCAAGAACGACCCTTCTCCCCAAACCCAGGATCTGCACAGTGAATGCTTGCAGAACTGAAGATATTAGCATTTAGCTCATGCTCTGGTGATCGAGAAAACAAAAAATTATAATAAACTTGAGCTATGAGTTTTAGAGATTGTAGACACGCCACAGCACACGTTTGCAACTTGAAACCATCCAACCCGATGAGGAGAAGCAAAGTCAGAAATAAATGTCTATAATCTCACAGAACAAAATCAAAATAAAATTGGCCCTAAAGAATAGAAGTGACCTTGAATAGAGCGCCAAGCGCACCCTCCATGTGATTGTAATCATTACCATCCAGGCATTGAACTAATGCTTGATAAAGCTCAGGCCAACTCTGAAAACCACCGTGCTGCACCACAACACTGACTATAGTGCCAACAGTGCTTCTTACACCAAAATCTGAGGATCCGAGACAGGGCAACACTTCGGCCTTGATATACTGAAGGTGACCAGGTTGAATTAACTGGTAATTGTTTCTCAAATTATTCTTCAGGAGCAACCCTGCCGCTTGCCGGATATTGACGGCATCTCCCTGCAGTTAACAAGATGACAGTATATCAATGCACCCGGTCAATGCTCATCGAGAATGAGCTCTCTAGAAATATGGGAAACTCACTTACAGTATATAATGTACCGTTTACCAGTAAACATGAGTCCTGAGACTAGGGAGTGTAAACAAAGACTCGGACAGTGATGATGCTGGCGCCCTGGCAATCGACTAGCTCAAGGCATTAGATCATACAGAGGGCTGCTAATTTCTTACAACAGAAATCGCCAACAGTTGTAAAGCTACAAATTCGAGTGCTCATCCAAAATTCAAGACATGAAACTTGAACGGTTCAAGGAAAGCACTCAATAGATCTCCTCAAACTGCTTACTGGAATACTGACACATATATTAAGCAGATACTAGGGATCAATGACAAGTCTCACAGCCCAACGGCTGTACGCAAACTCTATGAGTAAACCCACGAAAATTAGGTCAACTGACGACTACAACACCTTACACTCGCTCCAGCAAAGAACTCCGCCACTGAGGTTAAAAGGCAAACAACATTTGATACATTAAAGACAATGAACTGATCCTAATGTGCTGCTAATGTACTAATATTGCTGAAAGTCCGATAGAGTTCATGTAAAAATTGAGGCGCCTCAAAGACGCCTGAAAGAAAGACGCCGTGAAGTTCTGTAGCACGAAGCTCTACACGAGCGAAGGAGCAGCTAGTATTACCCGGCTCCGCAGTTTCAAGTCAAATCAAATGGCACTGGACAAATTCGATTGCCATCACATGTAAATTGTGTTATCTCAGCTGCCACCTCGACAATCAACTCAGCACTCATCGCTGCAGTGATCAAGACAAACCTCAGCACGACACAAGATGAAAGCGAGATAATTGTTGAAATCTGGCAGCTGGCTGCACCGCTGGTGCTGTTGCCAGATACGCGACTGATCCACAGTCGGCAATCGATACTGCTCTAGCAATCCGCAAATCTCCTTCAACCCATCCTCCTGTGGATGCCATGCGGCCGTCGCCATGCTACCTCCGTCCCTGCCCCGCGGTACCAAATCCAATCCAGCACTGGCACTGCCACCAATCCCTATCCAAGCCCCTCTACTCCAATCCGCTCTATCCAAATCGCCTCAAACTCATCCTCCAACCTCCAGCACCTCCACTCCAACACCAAATCTGCACACAGACATCGAGCTTGGCAGCAATCAATCCTATGGTACCTTGGCAACTGCTCAACTGCGTTCACGACGAGATAAATCGGCGCAAACGGCACCAAACAATCCGCTGCGAAGCTCCCTCGCTTCAGCTACACAAGATGCCTACTATTATCAATACACCGAAGAACAAACGACGTTAATCGCTACCTCTCCAGAGCGTGAAATCGAACCTTTGCGAAGCTGAATACTAGGGCTCACGCTCCTCCGTGACCATGATCAACATCGTCCTCGGCTGCCCTTCTTTAGCTTCTGCCCCCTCCTGCACGTCACCATACAGCGGTCGCTCGGAGATTTCTTCGACTGTCCAACGGACGGTAGATTACATCTCTTCATCAGGAAGCGGTCGCCGAGGGAGAATAAGGCTGACTGGAGGGCGGCCGAGTCGGTCCATCTCAAGGGGCCCTACTCTTTTCGCAAGGGATTCGGGGGTTGGACGAGTCGGTGACTTGGCAGCATTTCCTTTTACATTTGAGACGGCGACCGATGGACGGTGGGGACTCGAACGTTTTCTGGTCCAGTGGATGACTTCGCCTCCGTCGACGAAGTCTCTGGATGAACGATCCAATTCGTCGAGGGGTTCGGGAGCTTCCTCGAAGCTCTGATCATGGCTCATTCTGGGGCAGTATATTTTATCTTCAATAAGTATTTAATAATTTATTCTACAATTTAATTTAATTATAAATTATAGTTGATAATTTTTTAAATTTTATCTATAATATAGAAAAATAATCAATTTTGGAGCGATAATATACAATGCGTTTTGTTATATTTAGTATGGTGTTATTTATGAAATTATAATAGTATCTCGAGTAATTTTATTGAAGAAAACTGGAATTCTCTGTTACTGTTTATCAGTGTTCTTTTATGGTCATTCATAAATTTGATTACTGTTCCAAATTAACTATATTATGTATATTAATACTATTAAAAGTAATACTAATAATAATATCAATCAATTCAGAAGTGTTTTATATAAAATTATGAATTTTGGAATCATTAAGACATAAGACTGAACAACACTAGTGTGATTAAACCTGGCCATATACTTAAGTATATAGTGTGATGATTATATTAGTATGTAGGTTTTAAAGGTTGAATTAGTGTTACTTGAATAAATTTGTTTGTTTTTAGAATTAATGTTGACTTGTTATGTTTACTAAACATAGTATTCACAAAGAGTTATCACAACAAAAACATTGTTTTGATGTGAACAAGGTATTGGGTTTTCATTTGTAATGCATTTTCAAAAGTGTCCAGTGTTTTGTACAAATGCATGTACCAATCACCACACTTTAATTATAATATGAAACAATATACACAAGCACGTATAATCCAGTATATTATATGAGGGTATTTAACAGTATTCCTAATGTAGTGTTTTCAGGAGAAAAAGAATTCAAAAAAGGGGCAAAGAAGATAACTAAGAATTTTTTTGCTGTATTACATAATTTTAAAAATTAAATATCATTAAACATAATAAACTCACCAAAAATATTGCTTCACTTCTGAATTGATCACACTGTAATTTTTTGGATATTGCTTCACTTATTCATATTTATGTCGAGAGAGTGAAAATTTAGAATCACAGTTGTATATCTTTAAAATCCAAGAGCATTACAGAAGAATGATTGATTGATTGATTGAAATATACATATATATATATATATATATATATATTCTATCTCTTTTAAAAATCCACACGTTTTGCTGTATTTAAAGATTTCAGTCTCGTATTTTTGCTTTGTCCATATAAAAGTTTAATGTCATTGAACAAGCTTGCAAAATAATAACATTATGTGTCTAAATTTCTTCAAAATAATTACAGGGTACATCATTATTCTTTGATTTCATTAAATATATGCTTTATTGTGTTCCATTTATAGAAACCACGGTATATTTCAACCATAAATTTTGAAATGGTAAATCAATATAAATCATGAATTCACATAGTACATATATATATATATATATATATAATTTATTTTGCCAAGATACACTCTAAAAGTAAACATAGACAATAAATAAAAATCAAAGCAAAATCCACATCAAAAATGTTATTTTGAAGGGAATTAATTGCCACCTACAACTTAGACTTTGATTGATTCAGACATGTGATGCATGTGATTCTTTTGAAAAAACATTCAGTTCTTTTTCACAAGCATTTAACAGATGTGCACATAAAATCTGGAAGGTGATGAAGCCTTCAAAGTCAGCAATGGCAGAATCAAATTCATCTCTTAGTGTATGTGCTTGTGTTTGCATGCCATGCATAGTTTACAATTTTGCAAACCATATCATAATTTTTTTTTTTGCTACCTAAAACATGATTCCCAATAATAACAAAAGCATGATTTTGTAGTCAAGAAAATGTCCATGATTTAAATGCAAGAGCTGGAGTAGAAAGCTATATGGTCATTCATTGTCTATGTATAAGGTCATGTCAAAAGTTTATCAATGTTTTGATATATATATATATATATATATATATGTGAGGAATACATGATTATTTTGTTTGTTGTTGGTTTTGTTGTAAAATATTCAAATTAGTATGCAGTAAATTCACTTTCAAATATTACATTCTAATTTAACATTCTGAAGATTGATTGATTGATTGATTTTTTTTTTCGGTTTTTTTTTTTTTTTTTTTTTTTTTTTTTTTTTCCAGAAAAGAGCAACAATACATGAGTTTGAACAACATGGTTTGCATTTTTATTTCTTTATTTCTTTTATCATTTGTTAATTGTTTTAACTTCTTAAAATCCGCTGATTTTTTTTAATAGATGTGTCAACTTTGAAATGTTTTTTGTGCCTTGAAACATTCATTCTAGTGTCTTTTTCTCATACTTGGGCTTTTATTCTTCTTGTTTATTTTGACTTGCAAATTAAATTGGCATGCATTTAAGAAAATAAAGTAATTAATTTGACACCAATCTTTATTCTTAGCACTACTCTGCACTATTGATTCTGGCTCTTCTTCCAATTTTTCAAAGATTTTCTTTGACCTTTTACAATCGGATACAATTCACATAATTCTCATACCAATAATGTAATGGGAATTCGTTTTGTCAAATAAACACCATAAATGGCTCAAACACACAAAACCATTCATTATGATAAAAAAGCTGAAAAGTACCACCAATACAAAACATATTTCACTCCATGAAATTTTCAACATCTGAGGTTCATGATGCAAATGTACCCATCATTCCTGTTTAATAAACACACAATCCCCAGAAAGAAAACATTAAAAAATAACTTCAAGGCCACGAACTGATAGAAACGATTTCATCATGGGCAATGCACCGGATATCAGAGGGCGGGTAGAGCAGGACATTACGAAGGATTTATACAGGACACGATGATAAGGGTGCCCGGGCCTCGAACGGGGAAGGTTATCCAACGGCGGGTATGGTGTGGTATGTGGAAGGATATAAACAGTAGACGGGTATCTCAAATCGCGGGTCGTTGAGGATGGCTAGGCTCCCCCGGCCCCTGGGGGGAAGGTTATCCAAGTGTGCATGTCATCCGGAAAACGGGTGGTTACAGAAAAGTGGAGGGTGGGGTGAGGGGGTTGGGTCCCCTAAACCCAAGCAACGCATCGGACAAGGAGAAAGGGGGTTAAGGGGATTTGAGAAGCTTCTGGACGGACCCTCCCAGTTGTTCGTCCCCTTTCCTCCGTCATTCTCTAGAGCATTCCTTCTTCCGAGCCCCTTCTCTGGCCCTTTTGGAGTTAAAGCCCAGCTCCGTAGTATTCCTTATCCTTGTAGTCGAATTGCCTCGGCCTTCGGTTGGTGTGTGAGTGCGTGAGTGGGTGAGTGAATACATTGCAAGGTATTTGCAATTCTGCTCTTGGTTGCGTAATTGAGGTAGTTTTGTGGATTGGGAAGAATTTCGTATCATGGCTGCTGCTTCCATGGCTATAGCCGGGTCTGCTGCGACTGCTTCTCTCAGGGTGAGCTCTGAGAGCCGGGCACCTTCCTCCTTGAGTTCTTCCTCTGCCATTGGCCGCGTGGGATTTAGTGGCGGTTTGAACCAGCGGAGGCAGCGGGTTGCGCACCGTACGACGGTTAAGGCTGCGAAGGAGCTGCACTTCAATAAGGATGGCTCTGCTATCAAGAAGATGCAGGTGAATGCTGCGTTTTGGATTTCAACTCAAGTTGTGCGAATTCCGGTGGCTGCATTGGTGCTGGCTCCTTGGTTGATGAGAGTTGTACAAGGGAGTCGGTGCTTGGTGATTGCAATTTCTTCTTGCGACCTAACAATGCTTCATAAATTTGTGAAAGAGTGGAGAATGTGTGCCCTTTGTGTATTTGTGGATTTTTGATCTCTTCTTCTTGAACAGGCTGGAGTTGATAAGCTCGCGGATCTTGTGGGTGTCACCTTGGGCCCTAAGGGTCGCAACGTCGTGCTTGAGAGCAAGTACGGGTCTCCTAAGATTGTGAATGACGGAGTCACCGTAGCCAAGGAGGTTGGTGATAATTTTCCTTTTGTGAGGTTGAGTTTCGATTGGCTCAATCTCTTGAGAATTGCGATCATGATTCAGAAGTAGACTGAGTGACATACTTGTTCGTAACGATTATAAAATCTGTTCAATTGACGTTGAAACCGAACACGGGTGATGACCAGGTCGAGCTCGAAGACCCAGTGGAGAATATTGGAGCCAAGTTGGTGAGGCAGGCATCTGCGAAGACCAACGATTTGGCTGGAGATGGCACCACTACCTCCGTGGTGCTTGCACAAGGACTCATTGCCGAGGGTGTCAAGGTAGCTGTAGTACCTATCTGAGTGCCTTCTTGCTCTAATGTTTGTTGTTCTCGAGCACCTATTTCGCTCCATTTCGTCAATTAGGTAGAAGTTTAACCAGAGGCATGAACTAACCTTGTTAACCTTTTCGTGAGCAGGTTGTCGCAGCAGGAGCCAACCCAGTTCAAATTACCAGGGGCATTGACAGAACTGTTATTGCCTTGGTGAAGGAGCTGAAGAACATGTCAAAGGAGGTGATTGATAACGTGCCATTTCTAAAATAGTTCCTCACTTTCTGTGTTTCGTTCTGGGGGTTTCTCTGAGCGAGTTTTTGTCTCCAAGTAAAGTATGTGCCCTTTGGTTCTTCCCTTTCTTTGCACTACACAGCTGAATTGGATGTCGTTGGCAGGTAGAAGACAGCGAATTGGCTGACGTTGCTGCTGTTAGTGCCGGCAACAACCCTGAAATTGGGCAGATGATTGCCGAGGCTATGGGCAAGGTGGGACGCAAGGGTGTGGTTACCATGGAGGAAGGGAGAAGTGCTGAGAACCACTTGTACGTGGTAGAGGGTATGCAGTTCGACAGGGGCTACATTTCCCCCTACTTCGTGACAGACCCCGAGAAGATGTCTGTGGAGTACGACAACTGCAGGGTACGCACTAACAGCCTCTCAAATTCCCATGGAGCATGTTCATATTTTTCTATGTGCTTCAGGGTCTCTTCAAGGTTTGTGTACATACATGGGATAACCAAGAGGCTGGGGAAACAAGGGAGTGTGCTTAATTATTTTTTCTCTAAGTTGATGGACTCTCTTTGGTGTCCATGAGTCAGTTCAACATCACTCTTTTCGTACTTGTGAACCTTGTGACGTTGGTATTGATTGCTCGGGTTTATCCTTGACTGAATTCATTTTGAATTTATTTTATACGTTGGTCTTGCAGCTCCTCTTGGTCGACAAGAAGATCACCACTGCTCGTGATATGATTGGGATTTTGGAGGAAACCATCCGCGGTGGGTTCCCACTCTTGATCATAGCTGAGGATATTGAGCAGGAAGCCCTGTCTACACTGGTGGTCAACAAGTTGAGAGGCTCACTTAAGGTTGCTGCTTTGAAGGCACCTGGTTTCGGTGAGAGGAAGAGCCAGTACCTGGATGATATTGCCATCCTCACCAGTGGAACCGTGATCCGGGATGAGATTGGTCTGGCCCTTGACAAAGTTGGTACTGAAGTGTTGGGTACTGCCGCCAAGGTTGTCCTTACCAAGGATTCAACCACGATTGTTGGAGATGGCAGTACTCAAGATGCAGTTGAGAAGCGTGTGGCCCAAATCCGCAACCTCATCGAAATCGCCGAGCAAGAATATGAAAAGGAGAAGTTGAATGAGAGAATTGCTAAGTTGTCTGGAGGTGTGGCCATCATTCAGGTACTAACAATGTCAAAGTTGTAGCTTATGCTTGATTTTCTAGTTTTTTGAGATTTGAACACTCATCATTGTGCTTAATGCCCGGTTTTGCTGTTTAGTCCTGGGAGGGCTCCACTTGACTTGAGACTTCCTGTGCAGGTGGGAGCTCAAACTGAGACAGAATTGAAGGAGAAGAAGCTCCGTGTTGAGGATGCGCTGAACGCTACCAAAGCCGCCGTGGAGGAAGGTATCGTTGTGGGTGGAGGATGCACTTTGTTGAGACTGGCCAGCAAAGTGGATGCTATCAAGGAATCTTTAGACAACGACGAGCAAAAGGTGAGAGTTGTTGATGCGGTTCATATAGAACCGCGTATTAGAATAATTGCTATAGGGAAAGACTCGTATTATTCATTCGTTTTAAATCAGGCTTAGTAATAGTAGTTGTTTGATTGGTCGGAAGGTGACGTCATTTCGTCTTGTTGCTTTTCCACTTGACAGGTTGGTGCAGACATCGTGAAACGGGCTTTGTGCTACCCTCTGAAGCTTATTGCCAAGAATGCCGGCGTGAACGGGAGTGTGGTGGTTGAGAAGGTTGGTGCTACAATTTATGTGATTTTGGCATATGATGATTTTACATGTTTTTGGTGGGTTACGTTCTGGCGTCGTCCAGTGAAGCGGGAGAGCTTGATTGTGATATTTTACACTTTTCCACTATTTAATTTCTAAAAATCTGGTTTGATGACCAACAGGTTCTAGCCAATGAAAACTCATCCTTCGGTTATAATGCTGCTACTGGTGTGTACGAGGATCTCATGGCCGCTGGTATCATCGACCCTGCAAAGGTTGTGAGGTGTTGCCTGGAGCACGCTGCCTCGGTCGCCAAGATTTTCTTGACCTCTGATGTTGTAGTTACTGAAATTAAGGAACCAGAGCCTGTTCAAGCTGGCAACCCCATGGATGCATCAGGTGCGTCCCTGATATAAGCTACATTTGCTGAAGCTTTCTTTCAAATTCGATGTAGTCAAGTTTTAACTAGTCCGCTTTACTCAAAGGGCTTTCGTCAAAGTCATGTAAATTCTATGTCTTGTTCCAAATGGCTGAAAGACAAGTATGTGTGGGATGGTCGCAGGATATGGTTATTAAGGAGTTGAGCGTTTTGAATAATGCCTCTGATTTTTAAAGCAGATTTTTTTTAGTAGTAATTTTGAGAGGGCGACTCTGTAGCAGAGACGGATGTGTAGCGTAGCTAGCCTCAGTAACGAGATGATTGCCTTAGCCTATAGTGCAACTCTTCTTGTGAAGAGCAGCTACCTACTACTTGGAATTAGAACAAGAGGTCACAGAATTCATTCAAAGATGTCACACAAGTACTAGAACATACGTAGACTCTTACAAGGTACGTAGAATCTTCACGTCTAATGGAAATTTACAGATTCATTCCTTTCTGTCTGCTCCCGACCCTCAGTGCTCCCAAATTCACAGTTGTTGGTTTTGCTTGTGGTGTAAAATATCTAAAAAGTGGGGCGCTTATTGATTCGTGGTTTCCCTTTTCATTTCAATCTCTAAAATTACTAGTTCATTCAATCACCTTGTAGCATTCTCTTACGGCTAATCTTATCCATAACACTTGTTCTAGGATTGCTAAACTTATTGAAATTTTTTCACGAATCTTTTGCTCTCTCAACAAATGTTGTGTAGCGTTTTAAAATTAATCTTTGAACTGGCAGTGTACCAGGTTCAGGTTTAGGGTTGCGTTACCCTCTTGGTAGGAAATGAAACATGACCTTTGGTCTGTGGAACATGACACATGCGCAATGCATAATTTCTTTGATTCACACCTGGTTGATTTGAACTTGTCACGGGAATAGAAGTCAATTATGAACTGTTCTTACCCAATTGCACTGTTAGTTCAATTGAAAAATAATCATGTGCCCATCTAAACAATGTGCCAATTCATATCGAAATAACCAGTAGAGTTTTATTTTTTTATTTTTTATTTTTTATTTGTAGTGAAATCGGTTTCTTGACATTGTTTCAGCATTTTTGTGAAATTTAGAGATGAAGTCTTAAAACTTGACCGTAATTTTGTGGATGCGTTGCGAACATTATATATTTTAACATACTACTGAATATTGCTCATCGTATTGTCGTTGACTAATTTAATTAAAAACAATTTATGTGAGATGTCAAATGTTTATTGTGAGATGTTACTAAGCACATAATATATTTATTTTACTGCTTAGAAAATTAGAAAGTCTTCTAATCGAAAACTATATATACAAATACACCATGTTAATCGATATCCCTGAACTAATGTTTCCTGTTCATTTGATAATATTTGCTAGAATACAGATCCTTAAATAGGTTATAAACTTATATCCCTTAACCATTATTCCTTGTTCAATGTAAAACATTTCCATCAATAAAGGTTGTAAATCAAGCAATATATGTATATATGTGTGTATATGTATATATAGATACATATATTAGAACTTACTCTATGAAATCAACTACTAAATTTGTCTACATTCGAAGAAACACAAGAATATTGGTTGTGATGTCAGTTTTCCACAATTTTAAGTGAAGCTCAATAAGTCCTAAATCTAAGATATTGAAGCTGTTTTATTTAAGAAAAACAACAAAATAAGAAAAGAAGACTATCATGAAAAATAGTGTAATACAATCTTATTATCTTACCAAACAATTCAATTCTATATTATAGAATATTTTAAAAAGAAGTATAAAAATATAAATGACCAAATAATAGATTTATCTATCTTACACAACTTAATTTATGATACTAATTTTCTTAAATTAATATTTTAATTTAAATAACTACATATTAATGTGATTGTAAAATACATTTATTTGTTGATTTTTAATTTAAACTTAAGCCATATTTATGTTTAAATATACATAAAGATATATTAATTTAAAATTTCCAATTATTTAATAATTTTTAACATTTTAAAATAAGGAAGTACAAGGATATATATATATATATATATATTCATACATATCTATAAGACAGTTTCATATTTATTTATTGTATTCTCTTTTCTTACGATTCATCTTTAATTTAATTATAATTTTTATTTAAGTATTTTAAAAGGTAGTTTTAAAAGAATTGAAAATTTTAGGACTTAAATAAATACATGTTTGTGTATTTTTATACTGTTGTTTGTAGATGATTTCATTCATTCTCTTTTTAATTAATTTTGAACCATATATTTTCTTAACATATTATACATAATTCCCAAAAAAATAAATATATAATATACTTATATCATTCATTTGACAACAAATATATGCAATATAAGTTTGATTGTATGTATGGATGTATGTATGTATATGTATATATATATATATTGAAATTCAAATATTGTATATGTGTAATAATTAAACATTATTACAAGGAATTGTATAAAGTATAGTCAATTGCAATGAATATCAATATTAATATATTTTAATTTTAATAGATTTTTATTCTCAAAAATAAATTTTATTTTATATTTGGTTGAAATAATAGAAACTACCAAAAATTTAAAAGAAGTATATGTAGATTTTATTTTTGAATTTTAGTTAAATTTTAATTATTATCTATATTAAATAGAACTATTGACTAATAGCTTCCAAATTATGCAAATAGATGAAAATCGTCTCACAAGCTTTCATTTTCACTAATTAAATGGAAGAGCAAATGGCTATGCCTTTGTCTACTATCTCTAGCTTAGGATAGTAAGTAAATATTAATTTGGAAGAGAGAGAAGAAAATATTTTTTTTTATTTTTTATTTTTTTATTTTTCCTTTTTTTTTCTAAACAAGTAGAATTTTCTTTGATAAAATATACATTAGTTGTAAAGTCTCAACAATGTAGTATGGTTGGTTCATTTCACCATTGGGGTCTTAAGTTCAATTTCAAATGATAGCATAATCAAATTATATTAGGTGTAGTAGTCAAATTTATTAAAGCTGTTTTTAAAGTTATTTTTATATCTTTTGGAGACAAATCTTTTACTTTGCTTATACTCTATTTCTTTATGTTTTGAACTTGAAACAACTTAAGTACTGTAATTATTTTAGATTAATTAAATTTTAATATAAAAATAAATGTAAATATATATACATGATTTCTTTTGAACAATAACAATGTTTGTTCTACTTTTTTGAGAGAAGGTGATTATAAATAATTTTGTTAATAATTTTTTATAAATTTAATTATAAATAGATAAAATGTAAAAATACCTATTTCAGTTCATACATGTATAAATATACACACATGCAATTAGGTAGAGATATGTGATATTAAACACATAAATAATCAATGTATATTTCAATTATTGTAATATTATAGAGATATCTCATGTAAGGTAGCTGATTTATTGTTGACTACCTTTCCTCGTTCCTCCTCTATTTCTAACTTTAGGGTCGAATATTTCCATGAATTTGGCAACCTATTATAGATTAGATCTAACATCTTTTGGTTGAAAATAGGTCCAAGGCTCATTAAAATGGTATTAAGCTATGAGTAATGAATAAATTTCATTATATTCAAAATGTTTGGAATGCTATAGAAACATCTCAGAGAAGGTAGTTGATCCATTGTTAACTATCCTTCTCTCTATCATGGATATATATCTATTGTAATTGTTACGTAGGTAATATGAATAGGTAGAAGTAGGTAAAAATAAATTAATTTCATAATACAGTCTAAAGAAGCTTCCTAGAAACTTTTTAGATGTTGTTTTGACTTTACATATGTTTATAGTTGATTGGTAGGTTAGAAACTTAGTCAATAAACTAACCACGTACTACATATGTTGGTAACTTGCAAAATAAGCTAATTATGTGGCATCCATATAGAAAACTTGCCTTACAAGTTAAGATAAATATCATGCAAAGTCAACACGTTTTTGGAGGTCCTATAGAATGTTATTATATAGATCCTAGGTAAATAGTATATATAAAGGTAAGAGTGAAGCCTTCTTCATTCTTGTCAATTTATTTTTTGTTTCTACTTTAGTTTCAAGAGTCTCTAGTTTCTTTTTCTTTTTTTTTAATTTGATCATTTTAAGTTTATCGTGGTTAAAAAAGCATAATCATTTGATAGATTAGATTTCTTATAAACTTGACTTTCTTTAGAGCATTATTAAGAGTTTTGTAAAAAGCCATGAATCTAGTGTAGCTAAATCCATATTTTTTGGCCCTAAAGCTTTCTTGCATAGTGCAAAAGAATGATTGTCTTTTTTTATTTATGCTACACCTATTTTTCTTGATAGAAAGACTTCAAGTGGCATTCCAAGACAATAGCAAGATTTTCAAGATATTTTTGAAAAAAAGAATGCAGATATTTTTTTGGAGCATCGTCCATATGATTGCTCAATTGACATTAAAGAGGGAAGTTAGCCACTATTTGATCCAATCTATAGTTTATTAGAGAATGAGTTGATTGAACTCAAGAAGTATATAGACAAGAACTTGGCGAAGAATTTCTTATGTCATTCAAAATCTTGTACTGTAGATCTTATGTTATTTGTGAAGAAAAAAAATAGATCACTGCAAATGTGCATAGATTATCAAGGACTCAACAAGATTGCCATAAAAAATAGGCACTCTTTACCGTTGATATCTAGACTTCTTGATCAACTAAATCAAGCTAAGATCTATACAAAAATAGATCTACGAAGAGTATACAACTTGGTCCGCATTAAAAAAGGAGATGAATGAAAGACTACATTTTGAATAAGGTATGAACATTTTGAATATAATTTCATGCCTTTTGGACTCACAAATATACCAGCTGCTTTTCAACATCTTGAGAATGATGTTTTTTGTGAGTTTCTAGATGATTTTTTTGTCTATTATTTAGACAATATTTTAATCTATTCTAAAAACATAAAAGAGTATTAAGTTTATTTTTATTAGGTGTTACAAAAACTTAGAGATGTGGGATTGTATACCAAGTTGGAAAAGTGTGTATTCTAAACTACTCAAGTTGATTTCTTAGGATATATCATTTTCAACGAACGACTTATGATGGATCAAAAGAAGGTTTAAATTATTATAGATTAGAAGATTCTAAAAATAGTAAGAGATGTGCAATGTTTTTTAAGCTTTGTTAATTATTATCAGATCTTCATTAGAATTTTTTTCTCAAGTTATGGTTCCTCTTATATATCTTGTATGCGAAGACAAACTTAATTGAAGCAAAGAAGGTAAAGCATCTTTTGAAGCCTTGAGGTTGACACTTATTTTTACACCAATCTAGTATTGCATTGATTTTTCAAAGACATTTTTTATGGAAACAAATGCATGAGATTTTGCTATAGGTGTTGTTTTGTCATAAAAAAGAGATGATGACAAGTTCCATCCATTAGCTTTTTATTCCAAGAAATTTTCAGTAGCCGAGATCAAATATGAGATCCACAACAAAGAACTTGGAATCATAGATTCCTTTTAAGAATGATATCATTATATAGAAGGTGCTTTCAATCTAATCATCGTGTATACTGATCACAAGAATTTCAAGTATTTCATATCAATACATATTTTGAATCATTACCAAACTTGTTGAAGCATGTCTTTATTAAGATTCAAGTTGAATATTACTTATCAGCTAAGAAAACAAGGTTTGTTCAATGCCCTTTCTAAACATTCTTATCTTATATCCAAAGAAAGAAATGCAGCTTTTCATCAAAAAATAACAATTTTATTCAAGCCAGAAGAATTTCAGTATTGACTATTGATTCAAATCAGTATTCACTATTGATTCAAATCAGTATTGACTATTGATTCAAATTTTTTGAAACAAATTCAATCAAGTATGTCCTTTGATCTTCTTATTTATGATATCAAGAATAATTCTTTTAAGTCTTGTGATACTTCCAAGTTTGAGTTCAAGAAAAACCTAATTTATTTTGAAAGACGCCTATACATTTCAGAAAGAGAAGTATGTTTACAAAT